ATGTTTCTTGCGGTTGCTGTGGCTCCTTGCTCCTTTGCTCCTTTGACATTGACTATACTTGAAAGCTGATGGCCCCTCACTCCCACTCCGGGCTGTTGCCCCTCACTCTCCCCCTCTTTCTCCCCAAAAGCCACAGCTGGAAGAGGAGATGCAATGGATGCGGACGACCCAATCCCCGGATCCACTGCCGCTGCACCGGTCGCGGTGGACCCGCCCTGGCGACCGCAGCTGCCGGCGACAGCGGAGCCGCGCGCGGCGCCCGGACGGAGCACTGAGCCGGGCGAAGGAGCTGAGGAGGTGCGACTGGGTGCGATCATGGAGACCTACCTGGAGGGCTGAAAGGGAAGAGCAACATGGTGGAGATCCCCCAAAAATGGGAAGGGGTTGGGATTGAAATATATGGACACGGCGTGGCGGACCTTGAAATGAACAGCGTTTTTGATAAGCCCGCATCATATAACGCAGTTCAGCGTTCAGCTAAGGCAAACTTAGTGCATCTCAGATTCTTTCGCATCGATCGCAGCCGTTCTGCCTCCTTGCGGAGGCCCCGGCTCCGCGCCCAAGCGCCACTTCGTGGCGCCCGTCCCTGTCCTTCGCGCGGAGCCCCGCGCCCGCGAAGGCCGCGCCCGCAGCGCCAGCCGCTGCGCCCGCGAGCGCCGCGAACACCACGGCGGAGGCGGACGAGGCCTCACAGGCCGCGGAGTGGCAGCCGAGCTTGCGGCGCAAAAAAAAGGGGGCGACGGATCACCTGGGAGCAGGGATGAATCGATGTGTGGGGATGTATGGCAAGATGGACTTAATTAAATTTCAAGCTTGGCCCTGGCATTGGATGATCTGTTTTTTTGTTGTTTCTTTCTTCCAGGATCCAACTTCTTACTGTAATTGAACGCTGATGGGGAGGTGCCAACAGAAACAATCCTGACTCCAGACTTCACTCAAGGACGCGCTACGGTCCCGCGCGTCACGCGAATGGGCGAGCGCGATCATGCGCGCGGTTCAAGTCACTCGAGGCTTAGAACTGGAACTCGCCGGTTCGGCGAGCACCTGGGTCTTCTCCATTGTGAACAACGGCTTTTTGCTCATTTACATGTGTGGCCCGGCGGAGTTTGGTTTGGGGGTGAGGAACCCACTCATGGAACAGAGAAGAGAAGACCTATAAGACCTGCATCTGTGGGTAAGAAGGAAGATGGTCATCCAAGGGGCCGTGCCACCATGACGATTCCCAGCGATATAGCCCAGACACTCCATGTATGCCACATATGCCTACATTGACCCCCAAAACCACCCTAATGTAGGCATATATATATATATGGCATACATGGTGTGTTTGGGTAGCATAATTGTGTTGAATATTGTGTGACGCGTGCATATTATTTTTGCTCACCAGTATATAGAGATTTGTAGCAGCAGTGGCCCAGGTAAGTAAGAAAGTGACTCTTGGACTTTTGGCATGATCTTGCATGTGGTGGGTAGATGATGGTAGATGATAGATGCTTTTCAGAACCAGGCCAGACAGACTGGCACACCAGACTCCTTCCACACAGACTCCGGATCTACATCTTTCGACCTATCCTCACCCCAAAAAGACAAACACACTCTTATCTTTGATACTATGCATATCTATGCATGATTTACACACACGTCACACATGCATTTTGTTCTTCACATTCATGCACATGATATGCACATGAGATCCGACATGACTTGCTGGCCTCGGTACACCGTCCGGTGCCTATCTGCCTCCGTCCGCGGCGGCTCCGTCGGATCGGTCGGGTGCATGGCCGAGGCGAGATTTTCCTCCGCTTCATGGGGCGCGGCTTGTCCGCCATCCGTGATGCGCTCACGTGTCCCTTGGACCAGGGAGCGGAGGGAGCGGACCAAAATAGACAGGTCAGGCGCGCTGGAGAGGCCATCTTGAAAAAGTCCCATGCCCTATAGAGCGCTAGAATTCCTGGCCCCAATTTAGCAGCCTTTAGAGAACTGATGAGAACTTCACAACCAATCCTAAAGATTTGGCACTGACAAAGCCAGGTCCACCTTTCGTTTTCAAATGGGTTCGAAAATGCCTCGTTCGGTCACTCGCCCGGGAGTCACAGGTCGCTCGCGTTGGGGGGGGGTGGGGATAAGGGCCGCTCGGAGGGGAGTGAACTGCCCGGAAGTCGCATCGTACTGAAGACCCGGATGGGACGAAGAGAACCTTCACCACCACAGGTCACGACGTAGGGTGGTTGACCCGTGCGTGTTGTTAGGTGTCGACCAGATTTTTTCACGACCCGGGCGGAGTAGGTCCGGACATAAAGATCAGTTAGGGGTGGTGCCAGGGGGGTCAATGGGGCGGCAGATATGGCAGTCCCATGGAATGTCTGGGTATGTGTGCGAGTATGTGTGCGTGCTTTTGTTTTGGAAGGCCCATCGAGTAGGTTGGAGTTCTCGCAGATACTCTCCAGGAGCGGTCATGGGGTGTCTAATAGCCCCGAAAACGAGGTGAAGGCAGTGAAGGAGTGTCCATCAACCACCCGTGGGCCGTGCTGGTTTAGGATTCTTTATGTGTCATTCCTTCACAATGAGAACCTCTTTTTTGAGGACCCTCCGACAGGTCACGAATTGAAACCTTGGTCCGTTGGACCCCGGCGCCTCAACCAACGTATTCGGTTGGAGGGTCACTGCACCAGGTCGCAGGGAGCTGACAGCGTTTCTTTCCAGTCTGTTTTAGTCCTCGCAGACCGCCATGGCCGACGCGGCGCGTTTCGAAACGCGCACCCGTCGACATGACCCGTGTGGGACTGCCAATGTTAGCTGATCAGGCCAGGGGTGGTGTTTGGCGGGTCAATTGATCGGCCGGCATGTTATGGCAGTCCCAAATGGGTCGCGACCGTCGCGTGTGAACAGCCCTAAGGCCGCCCAATAGCCCATCCCATATGTACCACATCCCAGGGTCCTTCTGGTCTCTCAACCTCTCTTGGAAGGTTTGGACATCGCGTTGGTGCTCCTGACCTTTGTGGAACGCATGGCCGCCGGTGCCTCGATGGCGCGGTCCTTGCCCTCGATCCGCCTCTTGAGGTGGGCGGTTGGGACGGAATGGATGATGAGAACCAAAGCAAAAGCAAGCCAGACCCTTTGCCCGGTCTCTGTGGAGCATGAACGTCCGGCCTGTTGAGCATGAATGACTCAAAACCAAGCCATCAGACGGGCCAGCGCGGCAAGCCCTGGAAGTCAAAGAACTTCAAAGAACCAACACCCAGCGATCCCAGGTGGTAGAGGGCTGGGTCGTGCCAGGTCTGGGGGATGGTCCGGTAGTGAAGGGCAGGGACGGGGTTGGAGTTTTTGTTCCACGCCGCAGAGGGGCGAGCTGGCGGGTCAGTTGCAAGCTAAGATGCTGCATGGCATAGCTGCCAATGCGGGTCCATCAGATTTGTTCTTGCTCATGTCTAGTTCGAAACATATTTATCTGGCCATTTCTGGCGGAAACATATGCCTATAGAGTCAACAGACTGCGCGGGATGCCTGAAAAAAAGTGACGTCAAGGAAAGTCCCTTTGAGGTCCCCTATCATCCTTTGGTTTTGGAATCGGGAACCCCTTCAGGCGCACCTGGGCGCGCCCTAACCCGCGCATGAGTCGAAGGAGCCAACTCCACGGCGGACGCCGGACCCGGTCCTCGCAGGTTGTTGCGGCTGATCCGCGCCTTCAAGCGGATGCACAAGTCCAAAGAGCCACTGAGACATGAGAGGGAGCGTTCCTATTCCGTAAAACCAGTGCTGCGGCTTTTATGCCAGTGCTTGCGAGTGAGGTCGGTTCTTTTCTCTTTCTCTCCGGAAGAACTTCCAAGCGGACAGTCCAGGTTGGGAGAGTTTGGAGTCTCTTTACGGTATGCATCTCCCCAAGTTGTGTGCTTGACAAGTTGGTTTTATCATCGAATCGATCACATGGTGCAGGTGCACATGTTCTCACTCCTGTTGTTTTTTGACGTTTTTGTTTCCAAGACAGTAGTAGGGTCTAGTTGATGGCTCAGTGGATCATGGGTGTAGGGTCGAGTCCGGTTCACTCAGGTTAGTGGTGCTTTTGAGTGGCACCAGCAAGGCTGCCAGGAGTGACGTTTGCGCAGCCAACGTCGGAGCCGTGTGGTTTGGGTGTTGCGGAGCGTTGAAAAACGCCTCGCAGACCATCAAAAGATGTGACACCAACAGAGGTTGAAGAACCCTAGCGCCTATCCCATAGGTACCCCAGTAGGGTCCTATAAGGTCACTTGACCTCTCTTGACATGGGTTAAAGGGGGATACGAGAGTGCCAACGCAGATATACCATGACGTGCGTTTTACTGGGGGGGGTCTTTGGACAGGAGATTCAGAGGTTGCACCGCTTGGAACGCCCGTGGGGCTAAGGCCAGCTGGCCACTGGTGCAGTCTCCAACAAGTGGATGGAGAGTAGATGGCAGAATACCCCAAAGGTGGTTATATGATGTTATATTGACCTCTACAGTAATCACGAAAGCTAGCGAAGCTAGCTGGAGTTACTCTTGCGATAGCAAGGTTTCTTTCGACCGGGTGCAAATCCTAACCCCTGATTTTTCAGGTCGAAGACCCCCCCCCCCCTCCCCCCTCTCCCCTCTCCCCTCTCCCCTCTCCCCTCTCCCCTCTTCCCTCTCCCCACCTCCCCTCTCCTCCTCCTTGTCTTCCTCCCACCTTCCCTCCCTCCTCCCTCTTCGCAAGTTCGACTCCGTCCTGTCGTCGCTCTTTGGCATGCGGTTAGCGTTGCGTATCTTGCGGCCGCACTCGCTCACTCTCACTCTCACTGTCTCACTGTCTCACTGTCTCACTCTCTCTCTCTCTCATCTCTCTCATCTCTCTCATCTCTCTCATCTCTCTCATCTCTCTCATCTCTTTCTCATCTCTCTCTTCTCTCTCTCTCTCTCTCCTCTCTGTCTCTCGTCTTTCCGTCTCTCTTCTCTCTCTTCTCTCGCAGGAGGATCCGGGCAAAGAGCCACATATAAAGGACTCTTCACCCCTGCCTCCAAAAAGAGCGCCGTGTTTTTTCCTACCTCGCTGCCCTCCACTTTCCCATTCTGGAGCGCTAGCTTTCGCCCCCCCCCCTTGGCCTCAAGTTATATGTATGAAAAACCTCTTGGGCTTTGTGCCACCTACTCTGAAACCACTGGCCACCTGAATTTGGGTGGCCAACCGGCCAGCGTCTCCTCGATGGTTGATCCAGGACTTTGGCATGGGTCTCCTTGTTTTTGATGGTGATTGCCTGGGCGGCCGGAGCTTGCACGCGCCAGGCCGGGAGGGGATGGAATTTTCGTCCGGTGATCTCCACCCGTTGAGACGTTCGGGTTCTTGGGAAAGCACCGGGTGCCTCCCTGATGGACGGAGTTCGCTCCGCTCCGCTCGCGAACACTTGTTGACCTATCCCACCCATGTCAATATATTCCAGTCGACGCGTGCTTCTTCATCAGTCCTCATGTTGGGTGCTTCTTCACCTACTGGGTTAGGCCCCGAGTCGACGCCGTTCGAACGGCGGCCAGGTCATTGGCAACTCCCCCGTTTGGAACGGCAGCGCCTGGGAGTGACGGACCGCGGAGTGACGGACCGCAACGAACCTGAGAAGTGAGGAAGAGCATCTTCCTAAAAAAATCCCCAAACAGGTTTGCCTGTATGGGGTTCTGAGCTCCTTTTCAAGGGTTGCATACCTGGGCCGGATGATTTTGGCTGTCTTGGGTACACGTGGCCGGATGTTTTTACACTGGTCTCCACTTATCTAGACAGCCACAAGCACACAATTACAAACACAATCACAACACACAACCACAAACGCGCTCACAAACACACAACCACAAACACGACCAAAGACACAACCACAAACGCAACACACACACACACACAAGACACAACCACAAGCACACAACACAAACGACAACACACAACCACAAACACAACCACAAACACACAACCAGAACCCCAAACGCAAGGACCCACAAGCAAAATCGAGAACCACAAAACACCCCACCATGACAACATGCTTTGCACCATGGCATGAAAACAACTGATTGACATATCGTGGTGGGGATCACTCGAAGTAAAGTTCTTTCTTAGTCGTCGTAATATGTCGTAATGGTGGTGGGGCATGCAATAGACATCTAACTGCCATCACCATTTGGCAGCAGCACCCTGCAACGCCCAGCCCCCCACATTTGGGAATAACATCCAGCCAAGTGTATCCAGAGGAGGCAAGTGTAACAAGAAGGTTGAGGGAACCTTGATCTGGCCTGATCGGACCTGGTCACTTTTCTAGGAGGAGTTTGAATTCAGAGGTTGGTTACTACATGTGTTAAAGTTAAAGGTGATGGGTTGCGAGATGATGTTTTTTTTCTCCAAGCGTGCCTATATAGAGGGGACCCTCCCGCCTCAGCTCCTCATGCCCCTCCACCTGAGCTTGTACTTAGGCACGAACCCCATGGTGAACTTCGAGCCCTTCATGTCGTTCGACAACCGAGAGTACTTCGGAAACATCGTCCGGAGCTGCCTGGTGTCGAAGAGGTTTGAAGACGGTTTTTTTGGCAGAGGAGGTGGTAGAAGGCAGATGGCAGGGTAGCTGCTAGCTACTTGTCGGTAGTGAAGTACAAAGTTACGCAATCACCGTAGGATGCGCAAGACATCACAGGATGCACCGGACGTTTGGTCGTCCTCGAACATGCTGAGGTTTTTTGTCGATGATCCAAGTCATCACCAACGCGCAATGGGCGAACCACATCGGCCGGCCCATCATCCTGCAATACCCAGCTTTAGCCGCCTGAACTGTCAAGCAGTGCATGGCGTGGGGATGTGTGGCGACCAAAATTATAGACAGTATTGACAGTATTGATGCCTTTCCTGAAACAACAATGGAATTGAATGGCATGGCCCTGGATAACAATTTTACTCTACAAACAGGAGTGAGTCATGTGTATATATATATATAGTATACGCACAGGCCAAATATTGGCCTCCAACCTGCAAATGTAGGCACACATGTCCCCAGCGAAACCGCGCAGGTGTTCAGAAAAAACACCAACAAAACACCACGCCCTTTCCTTCCAAAGAAGAATGGAACCCCGTCAAAATCGAAAAAGAACAACCAACAACAACTATCCTCTTCGCCCTTCTGGCCGCGAGTGTGGCCTGGCCCAGTTCGTGTTCTTCGCCTTCTTCTTGTTGTCCACCACCTTCGGCCTCGTCCGATGCCCCGGACCGGCAGCCGCGGAAGAAGGGCATCGCGGTGATCCCTGCACCGGGCGCGGGAGAAGCCGGGTGGGGAAGGGGGTTCGGAAGCGGGTTGATGGCCCGAAAGGCGGGGGCTTTGGTTTCACATGTGGTCGATTTGGACGAAGTCTTTGATCGTCTTTGGTCGACATGGCATGTTGGTTTACCATTCATTTGCTGGTCATCCGGAAGGATCTGAGATGGGGGGTTCCCCACGACTGGAAGCTGAAGAGAAGCCGGATTCCCAAAGCCCTTAGCTGCGCTTCCCACATCTTTCCACTGGATGTCCAGACCATCGACCAGTAGGGTGGCAGGGACCACCAGACGACCCCCTGGCAGCAAGCAGCTTCCTATACCCTCGAATTCCCACAACCATGTTATATAATTACCAAACCCAAACACTCCATGTATGCCATATTTACCTACATTGACCCCTGAAACCACCCCAATGTAGGCATATATGGCATACATGGAGTGTCTGGGAAATACAGTAACCAGGAGAAGGCGGATTCTCGGCCCAGCATTGCTTCGAAAGCCAGGTCAACTGTTTGATTGAACATGATCTTGGAAGGCGTGACAGGGTAGGGTGACGGGCGGACCCCACCAGCGGCCCGTTCAGGTCACTTGCATCGTGGCCAACATTGTGCAGGACACGGTGCTCCGGTGGGTTCAGGTGGGTCGCAACGGCGGACGCGTGGTGCTTCGAACGGTTCTTTGCGAAGTTGGATAAGTCACAGAGACCAGTGGTTTTTTCTTTCCGGGTCCCCACCGGTCACGCCCAGTTCTTCGCCCCGGATGGCACCGACCTGACTCAACACCTAGGTCGTCTGAACGACGCTCCCTAGGACTCCTTGGAATCCTCCCGGGCCTTCGAGAAAGCCTTGAAGGAGATCGACCGCGAAAACCGTTGCTCGGCACCGCGGAGATCGACTTCGGCGGAGCGGAAGCCCGGGCACCAGGGTGCCCACGGGTGCTGACATACTATGATACTCGCTATGAATACGAGCCCACCAGGCTGAACCAAACATTGCAGTCCATTTCAGAGAGAACCCCACCAGCACCCTCCGGAAACGGGGTCGGCAAAAGGTCGCCCACATACTGAGAGATCTGTCCAGGATACCCTGAGAGGAAGGTCCAACCCCACCTTGGTGTCCCTTTCCCCGAGGTCGCTCCAGCGGTCTTCGAGCGGGAAAGCTCTTGATGATGGTCGACGAGGAGTGGAGACATCGACGCCAATCGCTGAAAATCGCGATGAGGAGTTTTTAAGCATGTGTTGACCAAAAAGCACGGCGCCTACATAGCAGCTTAAGCTGAGTATAGCGGGTGTTGACCAAAAAGCACGGCGCCTACATAGCAGCT